GTAAAGGTGGGGTTCTTCAGTCTGTGGAAATGCACTGGTGTGCAGGTGCATTTTTTAGCATTGCTGTATAATAATTGCATTATTTAATGTGCATCTTGGCCAGTACCAAATCAAGCTTCCAGCTGTGACTGTAGCTAATTTCCCTTGTATTTGAGGTTTATATACTGGATGGAACAGTGGGATCTAATAACTTTATAGTTAAAGAGAAAATTTGAATTGCATCATAATATTAAACAAGTAAATGTTATATGGAGAAAAAAAAAAAAAAAAAAGAAGTGGATTTTATGTATGGTTCAACAAAACAAGTCCAAAACGTGTATAGGTTAAAAATAATGGAACAGAAGACTGACATAATAAGAGTGCACTAGATTTAACAGTTTGATTTCTTTTGGCTAAAAAAGTATTTTGTGACTTTGTTGTTATTAACTTCTATGAATTTGGATCACCCACTGATGTATCGGTCCACCAAAATAGCCCTTTTCCAAATGAAAACACGTTGAGACCAGATGTTCCTCTGACAGCACTGAATATTGTTAAACTGCATTAAGGGCAGAACATCATCAGCTGCCTTTGAGCTCTGTGCCCCAATTCCTGATACCATGCCATAGAAGTAGATTGATCAAGATGACCAGGTGAACAGAGAGGATGAATGGATATTACATTGCAAGAAAGACTACAGCAGCACGCAGACCATGCATGAGGACTTTTAAACATTTTTAAACATTTAAACATTTAAAAACATTTAAACTTTTAAGCAGTTCGCTGCAAGGGAGCATCGTGTTAAGAAACAAGTGTGTGTCTCATTCAGTGCTCTTCTGGTGGTCAGCTGAAGAGGTGCGTAAAAGGCTCCTGTTCCTATTAAGTAATGGAGTTGGCATGCTGGCTTTTGTTGAAGGGTTTTGCACGGTAACAGCATGAAAGGAGCTTCATTTAAAATCTGCTTCAGCAATCACTCTGCAAGCTGTTATGTTCTCAGCACAAGGTGTTTTGCTACAGCTGCTCAAAACAGGAAGCCAAATGAGAGATAACCTAGAAAATGTGGTAAACTTTGGCTCTGCCCTCACTCTCACCGTATAAGCTCAGACTACCTGGGACAGGGCGGTGGGAGGGAAAGCTTTTGCATGCAGAGGTATGAATGTTTTAAGATGAGTCCCTCTGATAGCTGCCGCTGCTGACCACATCCTTCCCACTTCCCGAATCACTATCTGCAGGCTGTGCTTGGGGCTTCCTGTGTCACCGCTGATAAGGTAGCAGAGAGGCGGCCAGGTGCCATCCCTGCTGCTCCCCTGCACAAGGAGGTTATAGACACACTTGCTAGGGCCACAGAATCTGCTGCAATAATGAAGAAGAAAGTTTTTTTCTGTTCAGTCTTCATCTGACGCAGTGAGAGTCCCACGATGCCAGATTTATAATGTATTTAACAGATTTACCTGGGGTGTAAGAAATGGAGAAAGTGTCAGAGCATCAGCCCTGTGGCCTAGTGAGCCCCAGATAGGGCCTCTGACAACGACCAAGAGATAATACTTCCCACAAAAATGACAAAAATAAAAGTAGGCAGTTAAGATACGGTGTGGGATCCCCCCAAAACTTTGGGTCCTGTGTTTGCTTTTAGCTTTGGTCATTGGAAGAAAGAGTCCATGGGTGGTTAGGCCTCTGGGGTGGACTTCAGCCTCTGGGGCATCTCCTCAACCTGCAGCCCTTGGGCTTGCAATGGTGGAGTCCCTTTATCAGGCCTCAGCGTTTTGGGGGTGTTAGGGGTCTCTCCTCCATATTATCTGAAAAGGAATTACTGCATATTTGAACTTGGCCGCCTCAGTTCTTGTATTTCCAGTTGTAGGCCTTCCTGTGCACTTCAGAAAGCCCTCAAGGCACCTCAACATTGGTTCTCTGTTCTGAGCCTCTAATGAGCAAGCAGATCTGAACAGAAACACAGAACTTTTCCACAGTTAACTCACAAATAAGATGTTTACTAATGCTCTTTAAAGCATCTTTCGTGTCCAGACTTGAGTAAAAATTCAGACCAGAACACCCATTAATTGGTGTCTTTTTTTTTTTTTTTTTTTTTTTTTTTTTTTTAAGCAACCTAAGCAACTCATTAAACAAGCACTGGCCTTGCTTAGCTGACTTGATACAAGTAAATTATATATTGGCGAGAGTATGATCAATCCAGCATGCCTGTAGGCAAAAGTACAGATGGGATATTTTCCTTCTCTCGTAATATATGCATAGCATTATCAGAAATAGCATATTACCCAGGTGACTAAAGAGGAGGAGATCATTTTCTCCAGAGGCACTATTTTCCTGATAGTGTCTATCAACTGCTGCATAGGCAATAGCCAATTAGCTGGCAGATGTAAATAGCTCTCAAATTTCTTGCCTCTCAGTGCTTTTTTGACTAATGCTGAATTCGGTGACTCATTTTTCACCTTTGAAAAACATAAGGATGGTAAGACGTAGGGGAGGTGTTCTGATGGAAGGCAGACCATGTCTCCTCTACCCTTCGGTGCGGAATAACTAGTGGTCATCTAAACAGCTGAGGCCAGGATCAGCATGTCTGGGCATACTGGGAAGGAATTATGATGGATGAAAGTACCTTAAGTGGTTGTCGATAGAGCAAAACCAGAGCACAGTGCTTGCTATCCCATTCCTTGGGAGGCCTAGCCAGCTGACTGAAGTCAGAAATCAAGAACAGACTGATATCAAAGCCATTCTCTGAAGGTGCCTGGCTAAATATTGACTGAGTGGAATAATTCATTATTTTATTGATCTTCAGCTTATTCCATAAAGTGGGGCATGCTGAGGAGCTGGCTCACCTTGACATGGGTGATAAAAAGTTTTGAAGACCAAGAAAGACAGGGAGCTTATTAAAAAGATTAGCAAACACCAGAATAGTTTAGTTAAGGACTATTTTTAGAGATAGTATTATCCTGAATAAAGCAGTGTAAGAATCACAGAAAGATTAGTCAGTTTTACAGTACTTATCTTCTGTTCTTGTATTTGAGAAAAGCACAAAGCTTTTTTTTTCTCTAGGGGAATCATCTTTCCAAACTAACCAGGTTACAGTAGTTCAAAACCAAAGCAAAGTATAAAAGAAAGAGCAATGGTTGGCCAGGATTTCCAAATGTGCTGTATCACACAAAAGAAAATTGTTTATCACTATATATTTGAGACCCTTTGGTTAAGCTGAAGGCATGGGTGAAGTCATACCATACCAAGTGTACTGGTGTTTTAAGACTACTACACATTTTCATTGTTCCTGGAGCCAGTGCCACTGATTAATAATGTTGTTTTCTGTTTGATTGATTGTTTTTAAATGAGTAGTGGTTGCCCAGCCTTGAAAAACACACAAACTGGGGAAAACTCAGCACAGGAGGAGAAAAATACACAGAGCTGGAGAGGAGAACACAGAGCAAGGAAAATGCTGCAGGAAAAAAAAAAAAAAGGCAAATATTGTTAATTGTTTGGAATGGGAGGATCAATAGTCTTCTGAAGGCTTTTAAAAAATTGCATTTGGGGATCAGAAAGGCATTTCATGCCAGAGATGATGGAGTATCTGCACTAAGCCCGGTTCACCCAAGAAAGATCCTGCAGTTGGTGCTGCCCCTGGTGTTGGAAATGCAATCGTCCGCATGGACCTACAGCCCTGGAAATGTTGTTAGCTCAAGTGCTCTGTTGCCAGCTCTCACCACTGCCGAGACCCTGTGTGCCACCAATACACCCTGCTGACAAGATGTTCAGTCCTACCAGTACTGATCAAAGAAGCTGTGTCCTGCTGCAACCCAATGTTCCTCTATTATCCTTATCAGTGGGATTGTTTCTGGGAAGGCATGAAGGGATGTCCTGTAGCTGTGAATAGTGTTTTCTTTTTCAGTATTTCCATCCCTGAACCCCTACCCATATTCAAATACCTCTACCACTATTCAAATATTGTTCCTTTTTCCATTTCATGGTTCATCCATCCAAATACTAGTTAGGAATTTGTGAGCTTTTCCCTCTCTGGATGGGTTCCTATCCTCAGAGGAGCAATTTTCCCTACTGCCTCAGAATACTGTGACTGAGGTCACCCTCAGTATCAAAAAGGAGGACAAATCATGATACCATGAGCACATTTCAGTGCTGATTTTGGTTTTATGGTTATCATTTTATATAGTTCTATCAAGTAAAGACACACATTTCACATGGTGCTCATAGCTTTAGTTATTCTGGGTAACATTGTCCTGCTTGCTGTATACACAATGAATTTTTGGCTAACAGGATGTCTGTCTGTCTGGATTACCTGTCTTTTTAAAACTGTTGTGGATTATTTCAAAGCTCAGAGGAAGTTCTGGAAATCAGCAGACCCTATTTCTGTTGTTTGGGGGAGCGTTGGAAAATCTTGATTCCTTGCTCAGACCTCTGAGAGATGGTGGGGAAACTCTGGCAGTTTAGGACAATGTTAGAAAAACTTCTGTTAGGAATACTGCTGGTCTAATTGATGCTAGCTGAAGGGGGAAAAATAGATTGGATGAGCTCTGAGGTCCCTTCTAGCCCTTGTCTTTTCAGAAGCTGCTTCTCTGAGCCCTTGATGTGTGAATGGATGCTCTGCACAACCCTGGAGCTGGTTACTGGGAGCCCGGCAGGCAGTGTATGCTCTGTGTCAACCATTAGCAAAGTCAGCTAAGCATTATTCCTTTGAAGCGATTTTGTATTTAATTTTTATTTGTATAAATTCATCAATTAACAAGTGTTTGTGCCTGATGCAAATTCCATTTAAGTGAGAGGAAAAACTTTTCTTTCAATTTCAGTGAGCTTTCAAAAGGTCTTTCTGTGTTTTCTTGTGACAAATATACTGACAGCACATTCTTGTTGCTAGAAAAATTGCAGTATTACAGTCTTTTTTGTAGAAGAACTACAAATGTTTCCTTTATAATTAAGGCGCAGAATCAATCTTGCTATCTCGTTACTGCATTCATGGCTTGTATACGGCTAGTCATTTCTGTGTTCTTTTTTCTTCCCTCCAGAATTCACTTAGCACGGCTTTCATCATTGTGATTGCAGATTATTCCTAACCGCTTTCAAACCAGAAAAAGAAACAAATCATCAAAACACTTTGAGTGAGCATAACAAGACCTCGAGCAGGAAATCTTCTGCCTCTTACAAATGCAGTACCTGAAAGATGTTTTAAACCAGCAGAGTTTCTAATAACAAGAAGAACCGAAAATGCGAAAGCTGATGTGATTGAGAGCAATGTTATCAATTCCAAACCTCCTGGCACGCTGCGGGGATTTGATCAGCGGGTGAAATACAAAACCTGAAGGAAAGAAGATTAGAGGGAATTCTTGGGTACTAACCCATGGTTTAAAGTCAGCTGCAAACCAGGCCTGGGCATATTTCCCATTTGAGCTAACAGTGATGGACGTGAGTCAACCTGACAACTTCCAGTCTCCTCCTGAGAGACTGAAGTCGTTGCCTTGCTCTGATTCATCCCCTTACAATAAAATTCTTGAAGTTAGACAAAATCATGCTGTCCCTACAAAACAAGGCCAGAATCAGTTTTTGTCCTGCTTGTTTCAACCTCCTGCTCCAACTGACATGAGGTGATCAGCCAGATTTTGTATTCAGGGGAGATAAAGATACCTTTGTTCTCTTTTGGTGCCACGCTCTTGTGCAGGAGAAAATAAACGAGAGGGTAAACTCATTTGTTTGGTATGCCTGGCCCACCCCATGGAGCTGCAAACTGCCAGTTGCCCAAATTAGAAGAGGATAAACTTTGTTTACCTCTGTTCACCCTTGGCTACAGATAAATCCTCAGCAGGTGCCAGGCATTACGGCTTCCTGAATTGTAATGAAACAAGATGCAAAGCTCCTGCAATCAGTTATGACTCTCGAGAATCGGCGTTTCGGAGTCCTGTTTGCTCTGAAAGAAAGATTGTAAATCTATTTGCTTTGTTTCTTAATAGGCCAGAAGCAATATCTGTACATTCTTCTGCCAGAGGGAGTTGTTATGTGGATGTATTTCAGTCTTGGACGTCCTGGCTGGGGCAAACACAGAAATCTCCATCCTACCTTGGGTGAGCCACTGATGGCTCTGTACGATGGATCTCCTGCTTTGCTCTGTGCTATGAGACCCATGCATAAAAATAGCTTTAAGGAGTAAAAATGAACGGGAGGGGAAAAAATCATGGTCTGTTGCAATTGTTTCTTTCCTTTTTAGCAGGGGACAAATACTCTGTAAGTTATGCAGTCAATTGGTCATTACTCAAATTAAGAGAATTTGGACAGCTACATCAGTCACTAGGGAAAACAATAATAACAACAACCAGAACAAATCCCACCCAACCAAAAAAAAAGCCCTTGTTAGTCCTGTAAAGCTACAGTACAGTTCTGAACTGCAAATCACTGAGAGAGACGGGAAGAACTCAAAACAACCAGAATTAACCATAATTGAATAAGCCCTATTGCATATCAATTTATTTAAAAATAAGGAACTGAAGTCAAAAACAAGGGGATATTTTTACCAGCTATGTCTAGTTGGTACAAAGAAGCTGGATCTCCAGAAGAGGAGATGGATTGTTTGTTTTTTCTTTGCTTTCTTTCTTTTTCATTTTATTTTTTTTTCTGCCACGACAGCAATAATATGCTGTATTTTAGTATGTTATTTCCCCATTCTTTCCAAATCATGCCATCAGCAAATTCTTCTTTCCTTGCATCACTTTTAGTTAGAGAGAACCAGTCCCAGCAAGCGATTCCTCCCATCTATCACACACTACATGAAATTGCTGGCTGAGACACGATGCCTACAGCTGAGATGGTTCCTAGCCTGTTTTAGCTCATATTTGTGGCCAGGAGTTCTTATGATTCTGTGGTCTTGATTAGTTTCTTAAACAGCAATTAAACCTTCACAATCCTCATGTAAAAAAAAAAAAAATAAATAAATACAGAAAAACTCTGAAATGTCTGCATATACTGTTTGTGATTTATTTGTGCAACTGGCAATTTACAGTCAAAGCTTAAGGGCTATAAGAATAGCTGGATACACCATTTGATTATACATCTATAACTCCTAACATAATAAGCGGAGTGTTTTTTTTTTCTTTGTTTTTTTATACCTCCCCCTTCCCCCCTTTCCCTCCAATTGCTATTTTTGTCACTGTAATGATGGCAAGAGTTTTTTCTTTGGGTAATTACATCTGTAATGCTGAATGCTGCTTCTCATTCACACTTCACGCTAGGCACTGGGTTTGTACTGCTACCTGCTATTGCTGCAAAACTTTTCAGAACCAACCCACTGTTCCACTTCCCATGATTACTCTCATTAAGCAAGGGCAAACTTTGAGATTTGTCTCAAAAAGGACTTTTTATCAGCAGCAAGTTTTGCTGCGAGTTTTTGAAATTTGCTCTTAGTTGGTTTTCTTTTTTGTTTGTTTGTTTGTTTTTTTGAGTAAAAAGAAAACCAAAAAACTGATCAAGATGTTATCTTTTGATTTTGAGTGAGGCCGTACTAACAGGGAGGATTTTACCTTTAGGCTGGTGGAAACAGTTGGGATGAAAAGGAAAGAAGTGAAAAGGAAGAAGACACAATCTCCCCCCTTTCTTGCAAGCTTCAAATTAAATCGTTTCTTTTGGAAAGATGGGTCTAAATCTGCCTTCCTGAGCTGAAATTCTCTGAAGCAATTGCAGCTTAGGACAGACTTCTTCCCTCTCTGCAACTCTCCTTCCTCTCTTTTTGTGAACAGACCAAATTCTGTATTTCTGCAGGGATTTTCACCTGTACAAGTGCAGGAATGGCTGGTTGAGATCCAGAGAGGCAAGCAGGATCCCCAGGCTCCCTGTGCATCCTTATTGTCAAATATGCCACAGAATTGGACTTTGTGATGAGACATTGGCAAAAGCAGCATCCACAAGACCTTTACCAGGGTCCTTCAGCCCTGCTCAACACTAATTATGGCCCCAAATGGGGGACAGAAGTGGTGGAGCAGCAGCAAAAAATATTGAGACATCTGAAGGCATGAACCATGTGGAAAGACAGAGAGAGAGGTGGGATTGCTTAGTTTAAAGACATGTAACCCTAAAAATATAGAGGGTGGGTTGCCTCCATAGGCAATCAATGATGTATCATGATGGGTATTGACTTAATTGCTCCGAGAAGCCTCCAGTGACAGAAATCCCACATCATTCCTCAGGTGTTATCCCTGGGCTCCTCTGCCCTAATGGCTGGGAATTTTCTTCTAAACTCTAGTTTGATTTTACCTGCAATATTGCCTTGCCCATACTACTAGTCTTTAAATAAGCAAAAGGTGATTCTTCTTAGAGGGAAACATCTCATCTTTGTATCCCAAAGGACTAAGTTTAATTTCCTCTCCAGCTTTCTCAGGTTTGAAGAAACAGTTAAATCTTTTAAGAGACTAGATACCATTTTGTTTGCCACTGAAGTCAAGTACTCTATTAATTTTAAGATGTAACTTTTCTTCAGCAGGAGGTTTCTACATGGAAGCTTTGGAAGACAATATTACTGTCTCTGAGAATTTCTTAGAAATTTATCATCTGATCACATGTGATTATGGGAGCTTACTCTGTGACACAGTGAAATTAAGGATGGGAACAAACCCGTGGAATAGAATACCTGTTTGATGTGATTAAATGTGTTTGGAGTTAATCTTCAATGAGACAATGAATATCTGAGAAAAGATGTGATTTCTCCTATGAAGGAATCTAATGCCATTGGAATTGCCCTAGAGGATCCCTTCTTATTGCTGGTTTCTGGTCCAAGGACATAGAAACTGAAACAAATTGAGAAACAAAAGATCACCTCCTCATACTTTAAATTTATATTCTCCCCTAATTTTTCTAGATCCTTTTGTTATTAGACCCTTGCTGTAACTGATTACTTGTACAAACAAAAATGCAGATGTGCTCGTTTTCTTTTGTGTTGCTCATCCTGGAAAGCTCTTGTATTTTATGATCTAAATGTTTTTTAAAATGAATCCCCCTGGTGTTGGAGCTGACAGCTAATGTATATCCAACAGGCACTGTACATAGCTATGTAATGAGATTTATTCCAGCACCTCATGGTCTATGCATTAATTGAAACATCTCCAATGAGTTCACAAAAGCAAGGATGCCTCTATAGGTAGCTCCTTGGCAATTTATATGGTGTTTTGCAAATTACACTCTAGGCCTGATTTTAGTGGCACCACTGGCATGCTCACATTGCTAATTATGTATAATGGTTAATGGTAATGGTTAGTGGAGTATGTTTTGTAGTGGATATTCCGTTCGTGACTTACCAAGATAAAAGCACAAACTGATTTTGAACTGCCTGTGTTTTACATTAGGCAGACATTAGCTCCAAAAACTCTGAAGATATCACAGCAGGGATCACCCATCTGGGAATCTTCTTTGTTGAGCTCCAAATGCTTTCTAGTGTCTTCCTCTGCTTGATCTATTGCTAGTTGTACAAGATGATTCAGTAGGATGGACAAAAGGGTTCCCTTGATCAGGAATTTTTCTCTCCTTGTTAAGAAACGAGGTGGACTTGGCAAAGCCTATATTTTTATTTTATTTTTTTTTTATAATCTGACCTTCATGCCCTCTGGGCTTTCCCAGAGTTAATAGGGTCTCTGAGGTGAAAGTAAGTGCAATTCTGTAGTATTGGGATCTCAAGGGGCCTTGGTGGGAAATAGTCCTTTAGCTAAGTCAGTTCAGCCACAGCTGCAGAGCTCAGGAGCATGCACAGAGCAGAACATGAGGAGAACAAAAATTTGCCAGAAACAGGAAAAGTTTGTGTACAGTTCAATGCCTAGGTGGTTTTGGGTCTGGCCTTCTTCAACAAAACCCTCGAATTCTCTCCTCCTGGTTATGGGACATGAAGATTATTCTGGGTCTCAGGTCCGTACCTTAGTTCTTCATCTGGCTTTCCTCTTTCCATGGCCAAGCTTGTGTCCCTGGATCACAGTGACTGCAACAAGTGTGTTGTGTGGCTATTTTTCCATAGGTATTCTGGCTCTCTACCCAGTTTTCATAGCAGAGGATTATTCTGGGAAGCAAAGAGATGCATTCAGGAAAAAAAGAAAAAAAAAAAAGAAAAAAAAAAAAAGAAAAAAAAAAACAACAGGAAAACGGGGGGAAAAGAAAAGCAGACAGTTAAGGCATCTGAAAAGTTTCCCATTTAAAAGCAAGCATAAAAGCTTAAACTATAATCCTTGACTGGAAGAATGAACTCCCCAGGGCTTAACAGCTGTCAGAACCCATTCATTCAATGCCTCCAGAAGAATAAAACTGCAGTCACTTACAGTGCTTTTTGAAAATCTTTAGATACCCGTGTTCTATTTTATTGAACAAGCAACAAGTGAGTATCAGAAGTGAGATAAAGCTGTTCAGCATTGAAACAGCTTTAAGCTTTTATATCATTTTTCATATGAGGACCTCAAAGAACACCCTGAACGGGTGTTAAATGGGTGTCAGTACAACTTACTGCCTTCCTTAGAAAAAATGAATAAATGCCATTCAACGACAGCCATCTTTCACTATCCCAGCACTGAACATTCTTGGGTTGACTTAAAAGCTACTAAGGCGACTTTAGTTTTTCCCCCTTGTAGCCATGGTGGTTTAAAAATATAAAGGAGACAATTTTTGGCTTAGCGTGAAGTTGTGTGCTTCTATTTCAAGCCTGAATATTAAGTCCCTGGAAGCTCCCTTGTTATCTCCAGCTGTGTCAACTGGTCTAATAAAAGATATCAGCCCTAACTACAAAATATGTGTTCTGTAGGCCAAACAGACTGATTTTTTATATGTCTTGGGAAATGCCCAAGACTCACTGAAGTCAGTGGGAACTGGGGGCTGCAAACACCTCTGCGAAGGCAATTCCTTTCTGAACGTGCTCTGAGAGTAAAACAAGAGCTGGGATTTGGCATTGACATAGCAGCCTTGACGCAATCCAGAGAATAGAAGGAACGAGAGCAGGAAAGCAGCAGGTGGGCAGAGAGGTTCCCAGCCTCCAGATGAACGCAGAGCTCCTGAAGAGCTTAAGCTCGCACTCAGAGCAGACCCTGAGCTGTGGCCAGGGGCTTGGCTCGCTTGTTGCCACCAGTTCAACAATTGTTAGATTTCTGGCTTTGAGCAGGCTACCAGCAGCCAATATAAACCCCGTATGCGGTGTCAGATGTGTCAGTTGTCAAGCTGTAGCAATATCTGGTTCAAAAGGGAATCAGAAAGTGTTAACGTTCTCATTGCGCATAGGGCTTAAGGAGTAAACAGAATGAACAGGCAAAAAGGTGATTTTGTTAATCTCCTGAAATAAGAGCGGACGTGCCAAATATTGACTTGGCTCATAAAGGCATTTGAACTGTTTAAACAGCTGCCAAGTGAGAGAGTGAGAAGAGAGTGAGAAGAAGACTGCTATCTGTAAGTGGAATGGAAATGGGGTACTCTTTCATTCATTTTTTTAATTATTTTTATTTTATTTTAAAGACAGAAAGCAAAACAGAGCATTTCACTCGAACTCAGTCAGATCAATTTGCTTAACATCTTGTATCAAATCCCAGACTCTCTATTCCTTCCAATTCTGGAATAAACCCCCAGGTTTTCAAAGTTTTAAGATCCTAACACAGAAAAAGCTTCAGTAAAGCCCTAAGACCCAGGCCTGGATTTAAAGAACACATAACCTCAGACAGCATATAAATGCAGGCTTCTAAGTGAAATTAATAATAATAATAAAAATAAAATTAAAAAATGTCTGCTTCCAATACTGGACTGTCCTATTCCATGTCAACTCCAAGTGCATATTTCTCCCAAAACTGAACCTTCAGCCTCAGAGGAATGAGTTATCCTGGATAATTTTCCATGGGTATTTTCCATGGAGAAGTTCAAGGTGCCTTATTCCAAGAGAAAAGGGGTCTGTGTTTCCTCACAGGAGTTTCCACTCAGAAACACTTACCAGAGTATTTGTTATCTGGTAGGTTATAATAGAAGATGGAGGGCTGTAGAATAGGGGATAAACCTTCAAAGTGAGTGACCCAACCGCTCCATTTTTCTAAACCTCTTGTGATGGGTCTAGTAGCACAGATTCCTGAACAGTGAACAGTCTTCCAGGAACAGGACTGAAGAGCTACTGTTGTACATAGAGTTGTGCAAGACATTAGGATACATGATGACATGTTGCATAGAGTAGCACAAACAATCTAAATCAAACTAAAAGGTATAAATGGTCTTTTTTCATCGTAGTTTTAATTTAAAGTATAGCAACACATTGAGTAAATTTAAGAAAGTTAAAAGGGACTTATTTTATTT